TGCTATAATCATATGTGATATTGTCGATTCGTTGACCGCAGGGACTGCTCAGACGCTGCGGACGATGCGCGGCGCGGCTAAAATGTTGCGTGAGCACGATTTCTACAATGGCGAATTGTGCTGAAGAGAGCGTTTTCTCTAGCGGTTCATGTTCGCCAGGGTGTCCAGTTCGTGCGGTCAACGAATCGACTATACTTCAGCCACAAGATATATTTAGATAAAATTAGTTGGAAGGCACTAGATGACGTGTTCTGCAAAGTTCTCGTGCAATGTTCTCGCGCATTAGGACATCGTTAAAGAAAGTGAAAATAAGCAGATTTTGATGAAAAAGTTCTGATGCTTGCCTCTGCGCCCTGACAATAAGAAATAATAATATGAAAAAGTAATCTCACGCACAAAAAAAAAGATATGCCAAACATCGGATCACAAATTTAGAGAAAAGGTGAGCTAACCTTGGATGCGAACATTATCAAACTTAACTCACCTTTAGACAATCTACCAGATACATCGTACTGTTTCTTGATAAATGAGAAAGGGAAATAGAATTCGTGCTCATCACGCATACAAGCCATCTCCTTGCCATTGTTCGCGATACATCTTGCCTTCTTGTTCGACTTCCTCAACCGTTCCAACTCATCAACAATAGCGGGATCGCAAGCGCTTTGAAGTACAGGCAAATCATCGTTTGCAATGGTCTTCAAGTTTTCGCTCTTAAATTGATGGCTATCTTTTTCTTCGTACTCTTCGATCAGGCTCTTGTTGAGTAAAAGCAGACAGAGACAGATTCCGCCGAAGAGCAGGCTGTTTTTCACAGATTTCCAACGGATCATGGCAAGATGTTAGCCTTCGTAGCATTTACCGATTATCCGGTACACATATCGATCTGAAAATACTTTTTCACTGAAAAAAAAATGTGATTTTGCAAAGTCAATACAACGAAGTGTCAATTGGCGTCCAAAAAAGGAGCTTCGCACACATGCAAAAAATGAAAAGAGGTGGCATTACTCGCACAGAAAAAACAAGCTGAGATGGCCAAAGATAAACCTAGGA